TCCAGAAAGTATCAAGAGCTTAGGAATATGAGAACCAGTCATGGGAAGTGCTCAAAAGGGAGATGATCCCTTTCCTAAAGAAGAGTCATGTCGCAATGCAAACAACATTGTTGCAGTTTCCAGTCACATACACTGACCACCCAGCCTACGTCTGAGGCAGAAACTTCCACCGTCCTCAACCAAGTCCTGTACACTGCTTTGGTGTGAATCACTCTGACTGTGAATAGTCCATCAGGAGTGACAAGTGCCCATGCTCCAAGACTGTATTTAGTCCGTATCTGAGTAACTCATGTGTCATCCCCCCCGCCATGCTGCCTCAGCCTAGCTCACAATACCCCAGGTGACCCATCTGCTGTGAAATGGCCCCATGTCTGCCATGCATATCTAGTAGGAGTAGTGGGTGAAAAAAGGAGGATTCCCCACACCTGCATTTAGAAGGACTGAACTGAAAAAACTTAAGGTCCCTAGAACTGAGGAAATGGCTATACTAAAGTTTATAATCTCATATAGCCATTCATTTCTAAAAAGTTCATTCTTATTGTTTAATAAGAATTCAGGACTTTTAAGTATTTTCTAGTTTTTCTTTCATAAATGGATAAGGGAAAAGTATAAAGGAACTTACTTTGTTAGTTTATAAAATTTTAAGTATTACCTAACACTGAGATATTTTGTCCAATTTGTACGTACTGTTAATGTATATGTGTTTCTCTCTCTGAATAATGCAACAGATAAAAACCAACCAACGCAAAGAGGGCAAGATTTGATGCTCAAGAATGAGGAAAACAACAAATGCATAAACTGTGTATTGTCTGATGACTAAAGTGATTCCAATTAACTGTGATCATTTGAAAGTACCAAATATACTACTCTAAATGGCTTATCTTACAATCATCTTTCTGAAGCCAGTAAGTGTGTCCTAAAGGATTTCTAAACACATAGTGTCACAGCAAACTAAACTCTCACCTTACCATTTATCTTTAGATCCCAACAGATATTGAAACACTGCAAAAAGGGAGGGTTTTTGTTTTTGTTTGTTTGGTTTTTGCTTTTATTTTATTTACTTGTTTTTCTGAGGTTAAACACTGAAGTTACCAAAAAAGGAGTGCATCAATAATGGGCATATAGATTGGCTGAAAGGAAATGAGTAAAAAACAAAAAAATTAAGAGACACACAAAGAGTAAAAGAATGTATGAAGAAAAATCTTCCAGGGATAACTCTTCCCCCAAGTTCAAAAGAGCAAAAGATCCACCAGAAAAGAAGCAAACAACCATCCTGGGACTTAATTGCATTGCAAAGTAATGCATGAAAGGATCATGAAAGTTACAAAACAAGTTACATGAAAGGAACATAACATTTTTGTTCAACAGTTTCCTACCAGATGGCATTTCTAAATACAGTAATCTAAAACCTTCTGTTTGTTCTATGAATAAAGATGAAAGGAATAGCAACAATAGCTAAGCATTGAAATCACTGGAAATAAGAGTATTTTGATTAGATTTATAAGAATCTGGCTTATTCCAGTAATGATCCTAAATGTGGGAAGGCTCAAGTTCTAGGTGAAACTCAGAATCCCAGCATTCAGGTACTGCTTACCTACTTGCTCAAAGTGATGCTCATTCAAGGCGAACTGGTGCTCATTCAAGGTGGAGGAGCAAACCAGGAATGAAAACCAGGAGACTTGGGGATAATCTGAAGAAACACAGAACTCCTAATCGATAGAGACTCTAAAGGGCTACAATCTAAATCCCAGAAGCATTTTTTTTCCTAAAATAGAAGAGTTGGGACATACCCTAATTTTTGTGAGCTACTGTGTAAATGTGTGTGACTGGACTTTGGCGTCAGATAGAACCAATATACAAATCAAGGCTCTACAAATGACTGGCAGTATGAGCTTGAGCCAAGTTCTTTACCCCCTGAGCCTCACTGGCAAAAACAGATAGTAACAGTGCACAGTTTTCTTACCGACCAGGGTTCTTGGCCTCCTTAATCAATAGGAATTGATAAGAAACCAGACAAGAAATTCAGGCAAGGCTTTATTGGGGCCCCTGCTGCAGCCACGGGCAGCAAGAACAAGCAACAGGTCCCCTTGCTTCCTCCCTGGAGGCGGGGCGGGGGGGGAGCTAGTTCCTTATATGGGGTGAGGGAAGGGATGTGTCCAAGGGTCAGGCCAGAGGGGTCCCTTAGATGGTCTGCCTACCCCTTTGGTGGTGCTGTGTGCAGGGGGCATGTGCAGTCCCCTGATTTTGCTCCTGGCTCTTCAGAAGTGGCGATTGGGTTTTTGGTCTTTTTGTATCTTGTTGTTCATTATTTGACCCAACTGGCATGCAAGCAGTTATTTTTAGTCCCTTATAGTTTCTTTGTATTTTGTAGGAGACGTCTGTCCAGGTGCAAGTACTGCAGCAAAGGGTCCCAGATTCCAGCCTGTCTCAGTTTTATGGGAATGTACTTATGATACCTAGTTAAGTCCCAATGTTTTACTCTTTTTTACTATTACTATTTTACTATTATTAGCAATAATAATCATAATAATTATGTTTCTGATTTTTTTGCCATTTCAAAAGCATGGAGTAGTGCACAAAAAGTTTTTCTGGCAGTAAATGGAGTTCTAAGAGTAGAACTCAAAAGCCTTACCTGGCATATCTCCAGTGGTCACTCCTCGTACAGCCCTGCCCCCTTCTCACCTGGCCTTGAAGGTTATCGAGAATTCAAGTGGGGAAGGCCGATCTAGAGACAGAAGTAATTTTTTTTTTTTTACTTGGAGTATAGCTGCTTTACAATGGTGTGTTAGTTTCTGCTGTACAATGAAGTGAATCAGCTATATGTATACATATATCCCCTCCCTCTTGGACCTCCCCCCCAGCCCACCCATCTAGGTCATCACAGAGCACCAAGCTGAGCTTCCTGTGCTTTACAGCAGATTCCCACTAGCTATCTATTTTACACATGGTAGCGTATACATGTCAATCCTAATCTAGAAGCAATTTTTGAGAATTGGCTATCAGAGCTCTGCCCATCCCAGCCTGTCCTCATTAATGACTTCATTCTCAGTACTGTCTGTTGAAGATTTAGAGGCTTGTGAAAGAAAACAAGAGTTCCTTTTTGATCTGGTTAACTAATGGAATGTAGGGCCATTCCCAGGGACAGCATTGGTATAACACTGATAGCATAGAGCTTATCTTGGCATCTGAAGATAAGCAGTTTAGTCACCTGGGAGTAGCATAATTACCTTGAACAAATAAAAGATATGTTGCAATTGCTTAAATATGGAGCAGACTACAGTGAATGGAAGGCTGGTGTTTAATGGCTCTTAAAGATCCACTGGGTTGTTTGCTGAATTTTACATGAGGAGTGAGCCACCTGCTGGGACTGAAGCCCTCAGTATTAAAAGACGCCTATGATTAGGCCTTGATATAGAAAGCAATTCCTTTTTTTTTTTTTTTTGGTACTTTAAAAATTGTGATAAAATATACATAACAAAAAATTTACCATTTTAACCATTTTTAAGTGTATAGTTTCAGTGGCATTAAGCACATTCACAATGTTGTATAACCATCACCATTTCCAGAAATTTTTCATCATCCCAAACAGAAACTCTGTACCCATTAAACAACAACTTCCCATCATCCCCCCCCAGCCCCCCACCCTGGCTTAAAGCCCTTGGTAACCACTATTCTACTCGACTCTGTCTTTAAGAATCTGTCTATTCTAGAGACCACGTACAGGTGGGATCATAAAATATTTGTCTTTTATGTCCAGTTTATTTTCAAGGTTCATCTGTGTTGTAGCATGTTATCAGAATTTCAGTCCTTTTTAAGGCTGAAAAATATTCCATTGTATGTGTATACCACATTTTCTTTTCCATCCACCCATCCATGGACACTTCGGTTGTTTCCACCTTTTAGCTATCATGAATAATGCCATCAACACTGGTGTGCAAGTATCTGAGGCTGCGCTTCCATTTCTTTGGTATGTATACCTAGAAGGAGCATTGCTAAATCATATGGTAATTCTGTTTAACTTTTTAAGGAACCGCCAAACTTTTCCACAGCTGCTGCACCATTTTACATTCCCCTCAGCAATCTACAAGTGTTCCAACTTCTCCACAAACATTTATTTTTTTTTCAATAATGGCCACCTTCAGAAATAGAGACACAGAGGTAGAGAACAAACTATGGACACCAAGGGGGGAAAGTGGGGCAGGGGGGATGAATTGGGGGATTGGGATTGACATAAAACCACTAATATGTGTAAAACAGATAACTAATAAGACCCTGTGGTATAAAAAATAAATAAAATTAAATTTTAAAAACAAAATGGCCCCTAGGGCTACCATGGCGCAGTGGTTGAGAGTCCGCCTGCCGATGCAGGGTACACGGGTTTGTGCCCCGGACCAGGAAGGTCCCACATGCCGCAGAGCGGCTAGGCCCGTGAGCCATGGCCGCTGAGCCTGCGCGTCCGGGGCCCGTGCTCCACAATGGGAGAGGCCACGACAGTGAGAGGCCCGCATACCGCAAAAAAAAAAAAAAAAAAAAAAAAAAGGCCCCCTAATAGGTATGAAATGGTACCTCTTTCAATCAGATTATCCTAAGCAAACTATTTTTATAAACTACACGAAGAGTTATTATTACATGGCTGTCTTATCCTGTATATAAAATGCTACAAACATCCTGTGTAAGTCTCACAGGAGAAGGTAAAATATGGTTATTATATGTTAAATTTTAAACATCCTAACACCAATATTTCTCCAAATCAAAAGCAATCCTGAGTTTTCGAACTGCAGTTGAAAATCCTACGGCAAAGAAGTATATCCGTGCCTTACCGAAGGGGTCACCTGTATGACACCAGTCTTGGCAAAACCAAAGCCTCAGTACAGCCTAAACTGCCTCAGACTTGACCCGGAGGCAGGACAGCGCAGCCCGACTGCGCATGCGCGTCTTGAGGCGCGCTCCCTGCCAGCCTACGTGCGCGGGCCCGCGGAACAGCGTAAGGGCGGGGCTCGTGAATCTCCAGTCGTGGCGGCAGTCATGGCGGCTACGTCGGGTTCAGTTCGCCTACAGCGCTGCATGGTGTCGCCGGCGGGGAGGCACAGCGCCTCTCTGATCTTCCTGCATGGCTCAGGTGGACTACAGTTTTCCGTCCCGGTTACTGCAGCATGGGAAACGCCCCCCCCCACTCGGTTCCCCCAGTGTTGCCCTAGTGGGGGAACCGCTGGCCCTAGTAGGGCGCGGTGGACTCGGAGAGGGTGACTCTCCCCGCGGTAGCCCCGCGGCTGTGGACATACGGGTCTGGTAACCTGTCCCCGGCCGTCCTTCCCCCCCACCCCACCCTTGTCTTCCTTTTGCCTGTCTTGCAGTCACTGGCCCGCTGTTCTGGCCTTTGTGTCCCGTCATTCGGCCAGAGGCCCTCTGTTTACATTCTGTCCATTGCAACCATTGCCACACATTCCCCCGCCCCATGTCTCTCCCCCAAATTTAAACAGAGCAAGTTAGAAAGGTAAGTCTTTTGCTAGAGACAAATAACATTATCTAGTACTTTTCAGAGTCAGCTACTAGTGATTGGAATTTTCAACCGCAGTGGATTATTTATCTCCTTTCTGTGAGGGACCATGCCAGGGCTCGAGTGCCTTTCCCCCTTCACTCTTTCCTGCTCCCCCTTCCTTCTCCTTTCCCACTCCCCCTTGTCTTTCAGACCCCAAGATAAAGCACAGAGTCAACTCTGAGTCCCAGGGGCAGGTATTCTCCTTCCACCGCCTGCCTTTAGTGATGTGTTTAATTCTGTACAGCGTTTCTTACACTTACCTGTAGTTACTTCTGTCTTCCCCACTTCACTTCTTCCTCAAGAGTAAGGACGCTTGTTTGAATCTTTGCATCCCTAGTGCGGCCCAGGGTAAGTTCTTGGGAAGTGTTTTTTAAGGAAATGAAATGCAGCTTGTGTCCTCAGGGGGCCTACCTAAATTTAAAAACAATTCATTTAGTTTGACTCAGCAGTGGAGATCACAAGAGATCACAAGATGGTGCATGATTTACTGCCAAGTGAATTGTAAGGAAAAAAACTTTGGATAGGCATTATTAAGGCTTTTGGAAAATGAAGAGCTTGTTAGGTTTGCCAGAGGAAGTGGTCTTTAAACTGGGACTTATGTAGGCTTAAAGAAGACAGTCATTGGATAGTGGAGAGGATTGTAAAGGTACAGGGCGGAAACCTGGAAATGGGCAGTTGTAGGAAATATTCTCATTTTAAAAATGAGTCTGGGTAGATTGAATAGTTTGTCCATGGTCACTTGGCTATTACTGTGAGTGGTGGTGGAATTGGGATTTGAACCCAGATCTCTGACTCCAGAATCAGTGCTCTGGACAGGTAAGTTGAAAAAACTGAACTAGGATGTATCATTTTGGAAATAGGGAAGAAAAAGACCAAAGATGTTTGAAGGGAAAGACTTGACTAATGAAATATACTTAGAAGATGAGGGGTCTAAGATGACAGCAATGCTTATAACTCGGAGACTAATACTAATATTATTTGGGGCTCCAAGGGTGTTTATAAGCACCCAGAAATTCCCCAATACCATAGTCCTTTTCATAAGTAAATAATTTCATAAAAAGTCTGAGACTTCTTTTTTCCCTGGACAGCTTTGCTTAAAGTTACTATCCTCAGTCTTTTCAATTTCAAATTACTGACATTTTAAAATTTGTAACCATATGTCTCTGAAAGCCAAAGTTGTACGTATATATTTTTTCCCTCTGTGCTTTGAACGAAGAGTTTATCCAAAGAATCCTGCCAGTTATGCAAGTATAATGCAGTTCCTGTGTATTTTGAGCTCCAACTTATTGGGAATATGATTTTACATTAGACAATAATATATGTGGTTATGTTATAGGATATGTTTGGCTTCTGGTTAATACAAATGTGGGCAAACCGATTTTAACAGTTTTACCATACTCTTGGAATAAGGTGCTGGCTTTTTAAAGAGCGGACTTTATGAATGGATCGATGCATGTTGTTTTGTAGCATTTAGTTTTGCTTTTCAAGGTTGAAAAAGTGTTTAGAGGCAGATTTTGTTTTTTTAAAAAATCTTGAAAACTTGAGGTTCTCTTCTAGGCTGTGGCAGCCATAGAACATCATATAGGAATAGAAGTTATATCTAGCCAACTTAATTTGAGTGTTTCCAACTACTAAAATACCAAAAAAGTACCTTCTTCTTTCAGGATGAGGAAAACAAATGATAGCTTAATTAGCTTTGCTCAGCTTCTCAGATTAGATAAGTTCACTATTATACGCTCCATTAGGACACCGTGGTTCTTCTTTCAGTGACATTCACCGTATTTGTAATTACCTAATTTAATGTCTGTATTCCACACTGAGCTCTAAGGTTCACACAGGCCCAAATCATGCATGACTTGCTTTCTCCCCGTAGAGTAAGTCTCAGCAAATAGACTGAGTTGGCTCTTACTAAATTCACCAGTAACCTCTGTGTTGCTAAATGTAATGGACATTTTTCAGTCATCATTTTATTTGAACTGTCAGCAGCATTCACCTTTCTTCTTGAAACACTCTCCTGGTTCTTGATATCTGTATATGTATTTTGCACACTCATTCTCCTCTCCCTGGCCATTAATGTTGGGCTTCCTCAAAATTCGGTCCTAGGTTCTCTTTTCTTCTCCCTCTACATTTTTCTCCTCAGGCTAAATTCCATACAAGCCCACAGATTCTATTTTTATCTCCGTTCATGTGACACAAATATGTGTCTCCATTTTAGATCTCCTTTGAGCTCTAGACCTGGTTATCCAACTGCCTAATAGTCATTCATGCATTAATCTATTCATTCAAGAAATATCTATTACATGGCCACTGTGCAAAGCACTGTGCTACGCTCTCAGCTCTTAAGAACCTGGATTTTGTCCTCCACCTGGTTGTAGTTTGCTCAACCCTTCGTGTAGGACCTAGAATGCATAACAAAGGGGTACCTCACACTCAGTGTGTGTAGACCTGCTGCCTCCTGTGTTTCCTGTCTTGGTGTATATAGCTCTGGCCAAAAACCTTGCCATCACCCTAGAAACCCTTCATAATTGACCCCTCATAACTAATCTGTTGCCATTTTCTTTTAATTTTATCTCCTAAATATCTCTAGTATCTATTTCTGTATACTGCACTGCTATCACTGTAGTCCAAGCATCTGTCATCTGAACAGTGGCCTCCTAACTACCCTTCCACATCTCTCTTTGTCCTCCTTCAGGTCTGTCTTCACATAGCTTCCAGAGTAATCCTTAGAAGCATGCCCCCTTTCTGCCCCCAAAAAACCTTCATGGCTTCTCCATGCTCTCAGGCTTTGTCGGGATGTTAGGATCCATCCTGCATTCACTGCTTTTCCTCTCATTTTCTGCTTTTCATTTCTTCAATGCCATACTGTTTCCTGTACAGCATTTCAGCATTTGCCATATCCTGTCTGAGATGCCTTTCCCTGTGCACTTCAGTTTTTACCATCCTGTAGATCGCAGTTCAAACCATTCAACGACTATCTACTGGATGCCTAGTTTGTGTCAGCACTGTCCTAGGCATCAGATGAACAAGTAACTCACTGGCTGAAACACAAAATGAACCTTGCCTTGTGGAGTTTATATTCTAGTGAAGTTGTCCCTGAATCCTTAACTGGGTCAATTCTGAATCTAATAAACCCTTGAGGTACGAAGTGTCTTACCTTTGCAGTGGTTACATTTGTCTTTCACATTCATTTATATGATTATTTGACTAATGTCTGTTTCTCACAATAAACTATACACTCCATGAGTATAGGAATTCTTTCTCCCCATCACCTTCCCATCACTGCCTCTCTAGCAGTAAGCACGGTGTCTGACACATTAGTAGGTATTCAATAGATACTTTTTTAATTGCTGCCTTAATGAATTGATTGATTAAAAACTAGAGTTGTTAACTTGAAAATTTTCTCTTTAGGACCACATAAAGTGAACCTATAATTCCTTCCATTTTTTTATGGAAATACACATATATTAATTCTTGCATGAGGCTTGGTTGTTTTTCAGCCATGGGATGTACAGTCATTATTTTAGATTAAACATTGCCAAAATTAATTTCTCATTTCTTCAGGTAAAAAGTGAAAGTATGCTGAATACCCCTTTTGAAGAAATTTGGTTTTTTAACCAAGAAAATTGTTTTAGGTTGTTACAATTACAAAATTTTATAAGCACTTTAGGAATTTACTATTTTTAAGAGTAAAAAAATAAATGACAGTGTTTAAAATCAGATATGGAAAGGATTTCTTTTTTAGAAAAATCAATTGATTTATTTGTTCCTATTGTATCCTTTAAACAAATGAGGAAACTTAAAACTCAAAGTTAAACAGGTCTTTAAAGTGAAGTCAGGAGTAAAATAATCAAAATTATTTCTAACTATTGATGGCTGATCAGTTATTTCCTATTAATAAATCGGTTTCTATACAGTTATTTTTATTTATGAAGATTTTTTTATTCTGTGTTCCAGCCTCTGTGTGACGTGAAAGTTATAGACTGCTTTTAAATACACTGTATTGTCAAACTGTTTTAACTTAATCTAGATTTTGTGATTCATCAGGTGATTCTGGACAAGGATTGAGAACGTGGATCGAGCAAGTTTTAAATCAAGATTTCACATTCCAACATGTAAAAGTTATTTATCCAACAGCTCCTCCCAGGTATGCAGTAATTTAATTCATTACTCAGTATAACTCTGTGGCATAAAATATATATAAATGTACCAGCTAGATGGTTTTACAGCTTAATTCTGTATTTAAAATATTTTAAATTGGGGTTCTTTTTTCCAGAACTTTTTTTTTTGGTTTAGCAATTACTCTGTTAGACCAAGTTTTGCTAGGTAGTTTATTCTTTGAAAAGCATTCCCTGAAGCTCTTAACTTAAACTTTGTCCTAGGCATGGTTTACAGGACTCTGCTTTCTGTGGCCCTGCAGATTGCTCATCTTTCAAACCCTTCCCCTTCATTCACCCCCTAAAGAAACTAATAACTCAAACAAGGATAATCTTTCTAATAATTCAGTTAAACCAGAGTTCATAATCTCTGGCAAAAGGCTTTTGTGGCATTCTTTCTACACATAGAAGGTTTTAGAAATAATTTTAAGCTTTTTGAATCAGTAAACCAGAATAGGAACATGGAATCAACTACTTAATCCATATTTATACAACCTGTAGACGTGTTTAACAAAATGCACAATCATAAGACTGGTATAGTTTTGAAGTCAAACTGCTTTTTTATGATTATTAAATTAACATCCACATGGTCTTTTAAACTGGGATTTACAAGTTTTTTTGTGTGTGTAAGTGAAATATTGTGCTGAGCTATGCAACCCAATCTGACTTCCCATAATCTGTTCTTGATTTGGTCTTATTAGCACACTGTGTGCTTATGCAAATGCTTTGATTTATTTTTCTGAAACTTAGCATTAAGGAGAAGTATTGATAGAAGCAGAACTTGAAGGACCTTTTCATATCTACTGTTAAAAATTTACTTACTTGAGTTGATAGAATTGAAAAAGGTAGAACAATAAAATGGTAATTTTGTTGTAAGATTTAAGATTCAAAGAAAAGTTATTATTTTAATATAATTTTGGAGCAGTTTAGTATTTTGGTAGTGAAGATAAAAGACCTAATGGCCAGTGGGTAATTTTTGTGCTGTAAATTGAAGGTCTTTGAAAATGTCCGAAGAGCTTTATTATTTACTCTTGGCTTTTAGGGTGAGTGAAGTTAAGAGGGAGGAAGACAGTGGTATTTCCCATGGGAATGGGAAAGATAAGTTCAGTTTTGGCTAAATATAAATGTAATTGGCTGATAAAATTGAATGGAAGATCATTGGAAGCATGATTCTAGGAATTACTATTTTTCGCTTATGAATATCACGTCATTACCAATTATGATATGAATTCTAGACCAGTGTACCTTATACTTAGGCCATAGATGTTTCTGAGAGTCCAGAAATCTCCATGTGCTCTAAAGCATTATTTGTAGGTGCTGTTGTGATTTAATAAAATATAAAAGCATTGAAATTTTTTACTGAATTCATAGTAACTTTTTATTATATGTTTTCATAGTCAATAGCTATTTGGACAGATCAACAGACATTTTAGACCATGCTATCAATGGAATATACTATAAGCTACATATATACATTTAAAATTTTTGGCACCAAATTAAAAAAAAGGAAGAAGAAACAGCTAAAATTAATAGCTTATTTTATTTAACCCTTATGTCCAAAATATTATCATTTCAACATGTAATCAATTTCAATATGAAATTATTAAAATGATATTTTACATTCTTTTGTTCATTTTCGTGTCGTAGACCATTTTAGTTTTTATCCTCAGTTTATCACTATGCATACCTATTTATCTTATTTCTTATTTTCCTTCAGGAAAAATTCCTAGAAAGTGCTCAGAGGTCTTAAAGTCAATTTCTTCTTGTTTAGAGGATTAGCTTTTCCAAATTGTTTTCCAAAAATGGAACAATTTGCATTATTTAACTTAGCCTGTTATTAATGTAATGTGGTTAGGTTAAAAAAATAGTAGATTGGGAATTCCCTGGCTTTCCAGTGGTTAGGAATCAGTGCTGTCACTGCCAGGGCTCCAGGTTTGATCCCTGGTTGGGGAACTAAGATCCCACAAGCCACGTGGCACGGCCAAAAAAAAAAAAACAAAAGTAGATAGATAGGTAGTTAAATAGGTATAGATGTGTGATTTTTTTTTTCTTGTACTTTCTTGTACTCAAAATTTTTTAAATATTTTTTCTTGATCACAAAATTAATTGTTGCCTTTACAGTGATACCTACTTTATAATTTAACAGCCTCTCAAAGAAGACTGAAAAGAAAAATATAGAGTTGTGTCAAAATAAGAGCAGACTACTAATTTGTTGATCAATTTTAAGCTTAGTTAATGGGTATGTGCTTTGGAAATATATTTGAAGTCACTTTTATGTTATAGTTAGACAGTTTTAATGCCATTTATATTTCAATATATCATTAATAAGAGTGAAGCATATGTAATACATATCTAAAGTGACAAATATAGTAATAAATCAAAAATAAATCCACTTGTTATTCCTTGTAATTAGTTTGAATGAAAAATCTGGTATGTACTATACAACGTGGAATTTTTGAGAAACCAGTACTTCAGTTAAAGAGGAAAAGTGAAGACTTTTAGAAATAGGTCATCTAATTCTTAATTAAAATAAAATTATAAGGGCTATTAATGAAGAATTTGTCAGTTCTGTGTCTTAATTTTCACGTCAGAAATTAACAGATTTGACTAGATCTCTAAAATCACTTACAATGATTAACTTTTTGGATTTGGGGACCCTTCAGATTTTATCTAGTAAAGATAGAGTAAGAGCCAGTAGTGTGGGACTTCCCTGGTTGCATACTGGTTAAGAGTCCACCTGCCAATGCAGGGGACACAGGTTCAAGCCCTGGTCCGGGAAGATCCCACATCCCGCAGAGCAACTAAGCCTGTGCACTACAACCACTGAGCCTGCGCTCTAGAGCCTGTGAGCCACAACTGCTGAGCCCACATGCCACAACTACTGAAACCCACATGCCTGGAGCCCATGCTCCACAGTGAAGCCACTGCAATGAGAAGCCCACGCACTGCAACGAAGAGTAGCTCCCGCTCGCCACAACTAGAGAAAGCCTGTGTGCAGCAGCAAAGACCCAATGCAGCCAACAATAGAAATAAAAAATTTAAAAATTTCTAAATAAATAAATAAAATAAAAAGCAAACTGGGTTTATATGAAATTCAAAACCAAGCTAAACAAAAATCATTTAAAAAAAAAGAACCAGTAGTGTAATACTCATCGTCTTTTTTGCTGTACTTGTTAGGCCAATAGGTCAGGGAAATACCCAAGATGATAATATTATTCAGCAGGAGATTGAAGATACATGGAAGTATTGTGGTACAGTATTTAAGAATGCAGTTTTTGGATTAGGCAGACCTGTGATTGAATCCTGATTTCTCTACTTAATGCTATAAGATTTTGAGCAAAGGTATATTGCCTCCCTAATGGTGTCCCAATTTCTTGAGCACTGAAGTAGAGATAATTGTATCTACCTCAGAGTTGTGAGAATTGAACATATAATGTACATAAATTCTTCAGCACGAAGTCTGACATAAAATAAGCACTCAATAAATGTTAGTTACTTAGAGTAGTCTATGATAACCTTGTGGGCAAGATATAGAAATATCCAAAGAATTACTGATAATCCTTGAGGAAATTTTCCAGATCTGTGTTTCTGGGTTGTATTCTTAAGCCTTATTTGGGTTTGCAGTTTTATTTTAATTTAGGTGAGGAGACAGTGCTCAAATTTCCAGATGATATCCTCAAAAGAAATGCCCAGTCATGTTGTTTGCCCATGTTTTTATTTGGTTGTCTATCCTTTACTTACTGATTTGTTAAAGCTCTGTATGCTTTTAGATACAGCTTGTTGTTGTTGTTAGATGTATGCATTCAAATATCTTGTCCCTGTCTGGTTTGCATTGTCACTCTTAATGAAATCCTGTGACCATACGTTTCTTTAAAAGTAAAATTTACAGTGAAATGCAAACATCTTAAGCATACAGGTCAATCCGTTTTTATGAATATATGCACTTGTTTACTTCAAATATAGAGAATGTTCCCACCACCCCAGCAAGTTTTTTTGTGCCTCCTTCCAATCAATTCCTACCACACATAGATTACCATTGTTCTGATTTCTATCACTGTAGTATAGTTTCGCCTGTTCTTGAATTTCAACTAAATGGGATAATTTAACCTTCTGTGTCTGGCTTCTTTCACTCAACATAGTGTTTATGTGCTTATCAGTAGTTCATTTAAAAATTTTTGAGTAGATATTATATGTGAATGTACCACACATTTATTTATCCATTCTACTGTTGATAGACATTTGGATTATTTCCAGTTTTTGAAAACAATGTATGTCACTGCTATAAGTACTTTTGTGTTTTTGTGAACATATTTTAATGGATTCTTACCTGAACTCTGTTCTGTTTCATTGGTCTATTTTTTTAATTTTATGCCAATATAAAACTGTTCTGATTAATATAGCTTTATAGGGAACTTTGAAATCAAATTGTATAAGTTTTCTTTAACACTTTTTCATCCTAGGTTCTTTGCATTTGTATGTAAATTTTAGAATTCACTTACCAATTTTACAAAACACCTGTTTGGATTTTGATTAGAATTGCATGTAATCCATAGCAGGTTTATTTACAGAAAATTGATGTCTTCCAGCCCATGCACATGGTGTGTCACCGTTTATTTAGATCTCTATTCATTTCTCTCTGCAGTGGTTTAGAGTTTTCAGTATAGAGGTCTTTTGCCAAATTTATTCACAAATATTTTATGTTTTTTTTGTTATTGTAAATGGAATTTTTTTAAATTTAAATCTCTAATTTGATTGTTACAAGTACATAGAAACATTTTATATTTGTATCTTGTTCTTATATCTTGCTATCTCCCTAAATTCACTTATTTCTAGTAGTTATTTAGTAGATTCCTTATGATTTTTGTATAAACAATCATATCATCTATGAATAAAGGCAGTGTTACTTTCTCCTTCCCACTCTTCCTTTTATTTTATTTTATTGTCTGCCTTATTGTGCTTGTTTGAACTTCTGATAAAGTGTTTAATAGAA